ATGCTCTGGTTAGTAGTGTGATATTACCAGAGAAAAAGCTACGTAGGATTAGGTTAACAACTCTGTGTACATACATACATACATACATACATACATACATACATACATACCTTGACTGAGTCTTCGGGTGCTCTGTGGTATCTCCTATTTTCCAAGAAGGAAAATATGATCTAATTGTGATGAAGTTGTGAAGATTTCTTGGCTTGTAATTGTTGTAAAAGTGAATGGAAGTAGTTTCTTGACATATTTTTCTTGTTTCAATTTTTCTCTCTTATGCTTTTTTCTTCACTTTCTTCACTTTCCTTCACTTTCTTTTATATTGCTTTGTGTTTATCTTTCATATCTTAGAATTTTTAAAAATAAAAATAGCATAAAAATTAAAAAGCTAGACTTGTTTAACAATCTAACAGTTTAAATTCTTATGTAACCATTGGCAGTGAACTCTGTGCTAATGAAGCAGACATACGAGTATGTGATATTTTATTCTTCTTTTCAGCGCTAATTGGATGAAAACAGCTTACATGAGTTGATGTAGTTGAGATTCAACTTACATGAGTTGATATTGATAGAATTAATAGAGTGGCTTCTTTTGTATTGGAGCTCAGTAAGATCTAACTTTGTGTTGGATTAAATCGTTTGCACAAAAAGATAATAGCTAGTCTACAAGAATTCTGATCAATTCATTTTTATTTTCATTAAAAAAAGAATCATGTAGATGATTTTCTTTATACCTGGAAATATCTATAAGCATATTCATGATTTATTTTATGTGTCTAATTTACATTGGAAATATGTAAATATACACTGTGGGGGTAATGCCTGCTAGTCTGTGGTAAAACGGGTTTTATTTAAATTATAGAACATAATCCTTTCTGCAAATCATTATATTAATGTTAAAACTGCAAACCAAGGTCAATTGCAGACCTTCTGTTAATTTTATTGCATATAAGGACATAGATTCCACAGGACCTAAACATCCAAAGTAATTAAAAACATTAATATATTTTATACTTTGGATTTGCCAAATCTCATGTATTGCCTAAAATGTCCTACTATTTTCATCCATACTTCCTACCATAAACATTCCTCAGACCAATTATTTCACTGTCATAGAAATAATTACGAGTTTAATCTCCGGATTATTAGGAATTATCACCAACTCTCAAATCCTAGGAATCTCTTATGTTTATTAGGAATTATTACCATGTTGGGTGCTGCATAAGGATTATCTGTAGACTTTGTCCACACATTTACAATTAGAAAATGTACAGAAAGAGAAGCAAGGGATAAGGGAACATGTGGATGATTGTAATTGTCATGACATTCCCTCAGAAGCAGTATGAATTTTCACTGACACTCATCTGAGGAGAAATCTTACCACATCAACAAGTTTTATACAGGGTCACTCTTTTGTACAGGCAGGATAAAGAAGGTCTCCCAGCCAACTTATGCTTAAGGAGCACAATAAACCTTTGGAAAATAGTTTAGTATAACTATTGTCTGCGTTCTTCAAAGCAATGGAGACAACAAGATTCATGAGTTAGTTCAGTTGGCTTCTGTAATGGAAGACATGGCTCACTGGCCCAACTGCCTTTTTTTCAGATAGGAAAAAAAAAGTGTTTGTACAAAACTAACCAATCACAGTTATAGATTATGGTGGCATGCTGTGGCAGCCCAGCCAAAAAGCCTGTGCACAGACTATGTGCACATGTGTCGGCAAGTACTACCATGTTCTTGCCTCAGGGAGAAAAATATTTTGGACCAATGATCTGCAGACAGTTCACAATGATCTACAAACTGTAAACTGAGAAATGGGCAGCTATAGAAATCAAACAAACAAACTGCTCACAGCATACTAGGTTACTGTTTGGATAACTTTGTTTTCCTGAATAAACTCTATTTTTCTAGTTGAAGCCTTGATTTATAACTCAATATATATATATACATCAAACAAAAACTTAATACTGTGTTTCCATATAGACAGTGGAACTTGCGGTCTTGAAAACTTGGAAAAGAAAGGAACCCTGTTGCATATTCAAAGACAATACTATTATTGTCAATGTAGCACTAAATCAACATAAAGTCTAATAATTGGTGGAAGGGAGGATTTAGAAATGGAGAAAGGAGCATGGGAGGAAGAGGGGAGGGAAAGAGTACAAAATATTGTTTACAATTTAAGTTGCACCTGTATTGGCCATTCTATACTTAAGAAGCTCTAAGAAAAACAGTTATAACTGATAATGAGATTTAATCCTGGTGATTATATGAACTTGTCTATATAATTAACTTCATTACAATATGGAAGAAGATTGGAACTTCATTTTTACAATATGTTTTTTCAAACATATTGGCAGTTTTGATTATAGCCCTAGAATTTCCTGGTAGACTCCCATAAAGAAAACTAATCAAGTTTGACCTTGTTTAACTTTTCAACATCAGACAAAGTTGGCTGGGTGCAAACACCTGTCAATCAAACTTTCTATACACAGCATAAAAGCCAGATTTATGTCATTAATTTTGAAAACAGAAAATCACTATTAAGTTACTTAAATTTGCAATGGAAGTTACTTTTAAAGGTTTGCAATTTACTTGAAGAAAGCTAAGCAGTTGAAAGGAATTCCAGATAAGCATCCAGCAATGTTTTCTACCACTGTCCTGAATATCCTTAAATCACAGTAAATCTCATTGATTTAATATCTTTCTGTGTAAATAAACTTTTAACTCAAAACTGTCTCTATAAAGCAAAAACATTTTTCTAAAAGTACAAAATGGATGCTTACTTAAAGAAAGAAGGAAAATGGATCTATATTTTGCTGGCAATTTTCAAATATTGAGCAGATGCCAGAAAGATAATGGAAAACAATAAGTTACTGTTTCACTGAGAATATGATAAGAAGCAATGTGCTAAAATATAGGAAAATAGGTATGAGTTAAGTAAATGAAATTAATTTTAATTGTAGAAGCAAATCCATATCCTACACTAATAATGTCTAAATAATATCTAAAAATGTCCAAAAATGTTTTAAGATGGGCTTTTTACAGAAACATTCAAGTTTATGTTTTTTTGCCTTAGAATTCAATGAACATGCTTATAAAACCATGCATTCATATTAAGCCATATTCACTTTTAAAAGTTTGCTGAGAAACATTGTTAGGTTTGTGTAATTATTTGTTTATAACCTATGTACTTTTTTTGCCAAAGAACAGTGATCAATGAAACTAACATAATTTGGTTTGAAAATGCAACATTAGGTAAAGTATGTATTTAAATGATAGCTAAATGAATTTGTTCCATTTGTTTCTAACAGCCTTTACTTGTTCAGCTATCATTTGTAGAAAGCAATGAGGAGAGTTTGGGAGCAGGGCACTTTCAACTTTTCCCAATTCTCTAACTGTTTTTTTTCTTTTTGTATGTCATGGATAGACTGGTTCAATATGAAACAGTATGATATTATTATGCCAGATGCTAAATCACCCATATCAGCAAAGGGGGAAATTTGCCCAAGCAGGCATTATCCATTAGAAAATGTAAGAAGAAACATTTACTATCATATTTCAAAGCTATGATTCCATCTCACATTCCTTGGAACAAATCAAATATGCATGCTTTCTCCATGCAGAGAGAAATGTTCTTTTGCATCAGAACCAAGCAGTTTCCTGCTTTTTATCTTCACATATTAATGAGATTCTACTCTTTTCTTCAAATCTTGATTATGCAATAGTCTTATTTCAGGTAAAAATATTAAATTATATTATTTATATTAGAAATAATATCTTTCTATACATTTTCTAATAGTAAATGTGTGGCATTATATATTATTGGACAGATAGATAGATAGATAGATAGATAGATAGATAGATAGATAGATAGATAGATAGATAGATGGATGTAAGTAAATATGTAGATAGATAGATGATAGATAGATGTAGGTAGATGTAAATAGATAGATAGATAGATAGATAGATAGATAGATAGATAGATAGATAGATAGATAGATAGATAGATGTAAGTAAATATGTAGATAGAAAGATGATAGATAGATGATAGATAGATGTAGGTAGATGTAAATAGATAGATAGATA